AAAGCTACATTCATGGCTAACATTCACATCATCAATTGTCCTTGCCACCGACTCCTCTTCAGGAACCAGTTCTTCTTGTTGATCAACTGGATGGGCCTCACATTTAGCTTCCTCCTTGCTCTGCACTTCCTCATGTACCTCGGCAGCTTCTTCAACGGGCTGATGATGTTTAAGCTCTTCCTTCTCTGCCAATGGCACATCGAGAACTGGTTGTGGAGCAGCCCCTGCGGGCAATTCGTGCTCCTTCACTTCAACTACTTGTTCTTCCTTCTTCTCCAATACGACATCAAGAATCTCTTCAAGAGCAGTCACAGAATCCAATTCATCGGGCCTCACTTCAATAGCTTGCACACTCTTGTCCACCAATCCCACGTCAAGAACATCTTCAGCAGGAGCAACTTCGGCAACCAAATGGTGCTGTTTCACTTCAACAGCTTCTGTTTCCAAGGGAAGCACTTGCGCAACTCCAATAACTTCTACTCCCTGCTTGCCCGGTCCTGCTTCGAGAACTTCAACGGGAGCAAGAGCAACCTCAGCACCCAGATCATGCTGCTTCGCTTCAACATCCTGCACGGTCCGTTCCTCCAACCCCGCCACATCAAAAACCTCCCTAGGCACAACCTCGGCGCCCGACGCCTGCGGGCTCGCCTCAGCACCCGCCACCGCCACAACAGCTGCGGAGGTCAAATCAGACCGCTTCATGCCGCCACCGCCGTCCTCCCCCTCCTCCGCACCAGCAGCAAGGCGCACCTCCCGAACAGCCTTCACGGGAACCCCCTCCTCCTCCTCGGGCAAGCTCTCCGGCTCCTTCGCCTCCGCGACGACCACCGCCGGCGCCTTCTCCGCCTCGACCCACCCCTCCGCCTCCGGCGGCGCCACCGCCGCCCTCCCTTCGCTACGCATCATCACCTCGTCGACCTCGATGATCCTCTCCTCCTCCGCCTCCTCCTCGGCGATCGCGGCTGCAGCGCGATCGGTCCGGCGCGGGAGATCATTGGCGGCGAAGAGCGTGGCGAGCAGGAAGGCGGCGAGGAGGGTGACCGCCGCAGTGAGGAGCAGCTCGTAGAACAGCTCCATCTCTCCGGGTGGTGGAAAAGGAAGCCGGTGCGGCTTTTTTTTGCCCCTTCGCTTTCTCGCTCGGCTGGCGGACAGGGGAGAGAGGAAGGGAAAAAGGCGAAGCAGTCAGGAAGGGGAAGAGAGACGAGGTCGAACGAATCGGTGGGTGTGGGGGAGTAAAGGAGGTGGGGGCGCCAAAGCAAGGCATATTCGGACGGATACGATCGCCACGAGGGCCGGAGGGCGGGCGACGCCGAAAAAGTCATTTCGTCTGGGAGCTGCTTGGAGTTGGAAAAGAGGATGCCGACGCCGTCAGGCGTAGGGAGATTTCGTGTGATCATGTTTGCTGGTTGATTTCTATGCTTATAAGTCTGATTAGTATTAATTTGTTGTGAGATAAAAACACTGTTGGCTCCGTGTGCTCCATGTAGCACGCTTCCCCTCGGCCCTCCCGGCCTCGTGGCGTAGGGACGAACTACCGGCACCGAGCAAGGTAGATGGGGCCATGGAAGCACCGAGCGCTTTGCATATGAGCAACAATGGTTGGGCCTCTGCTTGTCGATGACGCCGCCTTTCTCTTCAAGCACAAGATGAGTTGCACAAGATACCTCTATGCGAAATTTACACCAGCTGCGCCCAGCGGCGGATCCAGAAAAAAATTTAAGGGGGCTGAGCAACACATACCTCTGACTGTTGCTCGATCTTAAGTCTCAGCCCTACCTACACTATAGAACTTTGTCTAAAAATTCATGAGGGCTCCAGGGAGAGTTCCACTGCTCCGGTATGGATATGGGGGGCTCGAGCCCCGTTGGATCCGCCCCTGGCTGCGCCTGAGTGCACTCATTGGTCACCGCTAACTTGTTAACGAAGAAAACAGTTCAGTACCAACAGCCATATATCGCTGTCTTCGTCGTTAGGGTCAATGGCTATGTATTATGTGCCTTACCGTGTAAAAGTACTTCCAGGATAAGTTAATTAAGTCCTAATATACGAGCTAAATTCGTGAAGGGCGCTTATAGATAATAATGGGACATTAAAACTATTCATCGCATAGTGCAGCAAATAGGAGGCAACCACATATTTCTTTGTCCTCCTCGAGCCATGTGCCTAGAGACGACCTCTTCATAGACCATGCTACAATGGCACCACCGTTTGATCCCAACACTGATGCATGTTTAGAGATTACGGGCATGCATGTTTGGATCTTGGATGACTGCTAACCTTGCCTCGCTCAACGAGAAGTCAGAAGAAAAGAAGGGTTTGATTGCCCAGGTAGCATGTCTTGTTTTGTGTTTTTCAATTTTTTCTTGCTCACCTGAGCTAGCCAATTCGGAGCCGAGGCTAGCCCAACACGATGAGGCAAGGCAGGCTGGCAATAAATCCAAACGCTCTAGACCTACGCCCTGTTCGTTTAGGCTTTTTGCTTATAAGCCATGGCTAAAAGTACTGTAGGCTAATTTAGTGTGAGAGAAAAATACTGTTCGTTGGCTGATAAGCCATGACTTATAAGCCGAATACGACTGAGCGAACAGGCTGCTAACTTCTAGAGACCCCGTTCGCTTGAACTTATCAGCCGAACCGTTTCAGCGAAATACCAGCGTTTTTCTTTCACGATAAATCAGCATCAGCATCAGCATCAGCATCAATATCAGCTTCAGCTGTTTTTCTAGTCAGCCGAACAGGGCCAAAGTCTCTAGCCCATTTAGGACCCATTTGGGTTGTAAAAATTCAAAAGGAGATGTACAAGAAACAAGATTCCTCCATTTATGTACTGTTCATGGTATTTGGAACGTAGGATTGAGCATATCCTTTCCTCTGGAGAAGCACCCTTGCGATTCTTTAAAAAATCAGTGATCCATGGGCCTAGTAAAAATGGAAAATACAGAAATAATAATGGGCCACGGTTGCTCAGTGGGCCAAAAGGCCCAATTTGTACTGTAACCTTACTGGACTGCCATGGGCCCAACTAAGCCTAGCCATACTACATCCGTGCACCGGAGTAGTGTGTGGTAGGCCCAGTACTGCCGAACCACGTGGGGTTCGGTGCACGCTGGTGACGAGTGCCGGAACTCTCCTATGTCATGTGCGGGGTGCAAGATGCTATCACGATGATGTTCATGACAGTTTATGCACTTAAAAAGTTGCTAAGTTGTAAGTCTACGGAACCTCCACGCCCTGGTGCGGAACTCCCGCAACGCGGAACCTCCACGACTAGGGGCGCGTTCGCTGGTCTTACAGGACCAGCCGGCTGGCTGAATCCTCCTCTCAAGTTATTGTTCATCAAACCAGTCAAACAATATTTTTCTCTCCCAACAAACCAGCCGAAACAGTGTTTTTCAGCCAAGTTTCAGCCAGCCGAACGGGGCCTAGGTGCGGAACCTTCGCAAACCGTGCAATCAATAGAAATAAACAATATATAGGCATGAATATGAGACACTAGTATAAAAGTTTCTTATTAAGAGCATCAATTTAAATTATCCTTATATACACCACACAACGAAAAAACTTGTACGCCTCTCTTTTACCTCTTTAGGTCCACATATCAATCTCTTCTCCCTTACACTCTCCTAGTATTTCTCATCAATCTCTAAAGAGTATCTCTCCACCAAAAGAAAGAAATTATGATAGACAAGTGAGAGTAAGAGGAAGGTAAAAGTTCAGCATACAAAAATTCTCTATATTTTGTTCTACCAAACAAACCACGCAACATTTCAAGTCAATATTCTTGAGAAGTTAGCACACTTAGCTCATATCTCATTTAGATGACACTCTAAACATCTAACAAATCATGCCATCACCACAAGAGGTACCAACCAATATCTAACTAATTCTCTAATCGTCACCACAAGAACAAGCTCATGGTGTGACTCGAGATATTGCATACACATATAGATTAACATTGGTAGTTTCTAAATATCTTGTGAAGGGAACTATATTAGTTAAAACACGATGTCGATACATATGGATTAGTATTGACTACTCTCTCTAGGTTTCTAAGAGAAGTCGTTTTGGACAACGACATGGATACTAAAGCATAACTTTGACTTCTTATTTTTTATAAAAATATTAATTAAAAATAATATTAATTTTTTATGAAGTATTTTTTAAGACAAACCTATTCATATATTTTTAATATTTCTAAACTCGACAACTTAAAAGTTATTCATGATTTTATATTTCAATGTTTAACCTAAACCTTATCCAAAACGACTTTCTTAGAAACCCGAAAGGAGTACATGTTTAGGAGAGCACCACTCCCTGATTTGGTGATTACAGGAGAACGGGTGAAGAAGTGATTCAAAACTAATATTATTTGGAAATTGAATAGAAAGTACTCCTTCCGTCCCAAAACAAGTGTTTATCTAGCATCCTGAAAAGTCAATGAATCCTAAATTTAACTAAATATATATAAAAATAAATTAATGTTTATGATAGCAAATTAACATTATTAAATTAATCAAGACATACACTTTTATAGCAAATATATTCAGAGATACAAATGTCTATGTCCTTTCCTGTAAATTTTGTCAAAGTTGAATTTGTTTGACTAGACGTATATATTTATTTTGGGACGGAGATAGCAGTAAGAAGCATGCTTTATTTAGCTCTCAGCTTCTAATATATAATGAAATAATTCTTGTCTGATTCCTTCTAATCAAAATACCTATAAAAATATTACCACCGAGGATATGAGTGATTTTTCACACCGGCGCTGGTTCATCCCGAATCACAAATTCGCGATCCGACGGCCGCCAGTAGCGCAGGCCAAGTCGGGCTCGAGTACTGGGTTCGGACTCGGAATCCAATCTACGCCCGTAGCCTCCGACTCCAAATAAGGACGAACGCACCCGTCCCTTCTACTCCTAGTAAAGTTTCTATCTTGTTCCGCAAACCAGCGCAAACCCTCCCCTGACAGCGGCGGCGACACCCTCAGCGGCGGCGCCATGGTGCTCGAGGTACGACATGCGCCCCGCTGCCGTTTCTCGGTCCGTGAACTCCGATCCCCAACTAATTTCCTCCCCTCGGTTTCGCTTTCCCCTGCAGGCGACGATGATCTGCATAGACAACTCGGAGTGGATGCGGAACGGCGACTACGCCCCGTCGCGGTTCCAGGCGCAGACCGATGCCGTCAACCTCATCTGCGGCGCCAAGACCCAGGTACCCACGCCGGTCTCCCCGTCCACCGATCCAATCGCCAGTTTCGTGTGGGTTAGGGTTTCTGGGATTCCGGATCTGATTGCTTCTGTTTGCTGGTGGGTGCAGTCGAACCCGGAGAACACGGTAGGCGTGATGACGATGGCCGGGAAGGGCGTCCGCGTGCTTGTCACTCCCACCAGCGACCTCGGGAAGATTCTCGCCTGTATGCACGGTAAGCTCACATCGATCCCAAAACCTTTGCTTTACTATCGTGCTGAGAGCATTTTGCCAATTAGTTTAGGGATTCAGTGCAACTGCCTAAGCTATCTCATAAGTTGTTAGATCATGGTACTTTGGTACTTGTAGTTTCCTGACCAAGTGATGCACAACAATGTACTGTATAGGGTTGGAAGTTGGTGCTGAGGCAAACTTGGCTGCGGCAATCCAGGTTGCTCAGCTTGCGCTTAAGCATCGCCAGAACAAGAGGCAGCAGCAGAGGATTATAGCTTTCATCGGAAGGTATGCAGGAGTGGCATAACTTATATGGCCATTATTAATTTTGTCTGAATTTAGGTTAATGATTCTTGTCATATGTATCAGTCCTGTGAAGTACGACAAGAAAGTTTTGGAGACAATCGGGAAGAAGCTGAAAAAGAACAATGTTGCTCTTGACATTGTTGACTTTGGTGAATCCGATGATGAAAAACCTGAGAAACTCGAAGCATTGATTGCTGCTGTTAACAGCAGTGATAGCAGTCACATTGTTCATGTCCCTCCTGGTGATAATGCCCTCTCTGATGTCCTCCTAAGGTAATTTTGTGCCATGTTACTGGGTTCTAAGTTTTCTTATGCTGCGTATATGTTAACCTTATTTTTCTATCTTTACCCAGCACTCCTATATTTACCGGTGAAGAAGGCGGAAGCGGTTTTGCTGCTTCCGCAGCAGCTGCCGCAGCTACTGGAGCATCTGGATTTGAATTTGGTGTGGACCCAAATGTAGATCCAGAATTGGCACTTTCACCTGCTGCGTTGTCTATGGAAGAAGAGCGGGGCAAGGCAAGAGGCTATTGCAAAAAAGGCTGCAGAAGATACTTCTAATACCGAAAATAACAATGCCTCAAGCTCAAACAGCGATTCTGTTATGGCTGAAGCAGAACCTGCCTCAAATGCTGCTGCTGGCGACAAGAAAGAACAGCCAAAGGTATTATCACTGTCCATCAGTTACAAACTAAAAATGCTCTGACCTGCCTCAAATGCTTCAAGTTTTGGTAGTTGTATGTACTCTCATGAACTCTTTTCTGCGATTTCATTTAAAATTGAGAGTGCATTTGCTTACATACTTTCTGTAACGACCATTAAAACTTAGATGATGATCTGCTAGTGATTGTTGTCAGAGCAGACACTACACTAGCATATGTTGAAACCTTATAGGTAGCCCTGTATATGCCAGTGCATTAATTAATTAATGCTAAAGTAGCTTGGTACATGCGCTGCCTCCTTTCCCCCCCTTACATAATCTAATTTTGTCCGTGCTTAATAAAAATATGGAAGATATTGGCTAGGTGCATCTTTTCTTGGCACATATGTACATAATTTCTAGTGTTCCTTGCTTAACTTTTTAACTAACAAAGTTTCCAATCACAAGTTCTACTTAATTTGTGCTAGTTTAAACTACGATTATATGCCAGTTTGTCTTCTGTTGCAATATTGATTATAAAGGTTGCAAGTAGCAAAAACCCTTTTCAATTAAAGTGCCTGACTCTGTATCTTCCATTTGTACTATTTGTATTGTATATTATTTATATTAATAGTTAATGTAATCCAAGTGGACATCAGAAGGCTAACATAGATGTGATCACAGGATGATGACGATCTACTACAGCAGGCACTTGCAATGTCAATGGAGGATGGTGCTTCAGGATCTGCAGCTGTGACTGACTCTGCTATGGCAGAAGCTGGTGCTGTTGACCCTGACTTGGCATTGGGTGTGTTTTCTCTTCTTATATTTGCAGCCTCAACAATTCTAGCACATACGGTATTTGTTGCTATCAATTAATTCTGGTAGTGAAATGGAAAACCACTGCTTTCTAGTGTGTACATGAAAACTTGGATGTTAACACTTCTTGCTCCGATAGGAAACATATAACAACCAACATCTTCAATTATTCCTCCCAGCATTAACTTAAACATAAGCATTTTCATCATGGGTAGTATTGATCAGTAATTCAGTGTAGTCATCAGAAATCACCAAGTTGAAAAAGCCACCATCTAGCGGATTAGTGATATGTTCCCAGGGCCCACACCTCATCCTAATATCAGATGATCCCCAAACACTTCTCTCTTTTTGTGGCACCAAACTATTTTTCCCTTGTGAGTTCATTTCATTCCTATATATTTGTAAGTTCTATTAATGTGCACCCAGTCTGCCTTTTGCCCATAGACAAGCCCTCTTGAACAGTTAAACTGTAAAAGTTCAGCTAGGCGCTGGGCGGAATCTAGGCGCTGACCCTCAGCCTAGCGCCTAGGCGGGATTAATCGCGCCTAGGCGTTCCTAGGCGTTTTCCTAGGCGTTTTCCAATACATGCTTAAATGTATTAATACATACTTAAGTACTTAAAAGAAAAGAAAAAATAGAAGACCAATGGTCATGGAACAGGGAGAAAAGAGAAGAAAGGCCCATAAAAACGGCCCAACCCACCTTGTCCACCGTTAAAAACGGCCCAGCGCACCTTATCCACGCCTCCTCCCACACCGCCGCCGCCTGCACCTGCTCCCGCCCGAGCGCCTGCCGCCCGCGCAACCCCGCGCGAGCGCCCGCCGCCCGCGCAAGCCTGCCGCCCGCGCACGCGCCCGCCGCCGCCCGCGCAAGCCCGCGCGAGCGCCCGCCGCCGCTCGCAGCTCCTCCTCCCCCACCGACAACCTCCGCCAGGCGCTCCTCCACCACCACCGCCGCCGCCGACGAGTCGCCGCCGCCTAGGGGTCCGCCTACCCCCATAGGCGAGGCGGACACCCTCCGACTAGAGCCTAGTCGCGCCTAGTCGCGCCTAGGCGAGCGCCTAGCGGAACTATTAACATAACTCATTAAGGAACATACTTTGTTATATATATATTCTGGCTGTCCAATAGATCGTATCATTCAACATCACATCTTCACATTACTCAAAAATGTTGCTTAGATTTTCTTTGTTTCACTTGTTTTCTTTTCTATTGATACCTATAGTATTACAATCTCATTTCTTTTATCAACCTCATTCTCTAATATTCCCATACTCTGATTGTTTATATGCAGCTCTTCAAATGTCTGTCCAGGATGCAAACATGTCCAGTGACACTGATATGAGTAAGGTGTTTGAAGACAGAACGTTTGTGTCATCTATCCTTAATTCGGTACGTATTATTCTTATGAACTAATGACATACAGGTACATTTTTAGCTGCTGTTTTAATAATTTATTGGTCCTTTTTTTGTGTGGAATAACAGCTTCCTGGTGTTGATCCCAATGATCCATCTGTTAAAGATTTGCTGGCATCATTGCACAGCCAGGGGGAGGTATGTTCTTTTTTGGGTTACACTGAAGGTCTGCCAGTATTGTGATGCAATGAAATTCATGTTGCCTCTACATGATAGTATTGTTCAGGACCTTGACTAAATAAGAATATATATATATATTGCAAGATTTAAGTAACTAAGCCCCTGTTTGGATCCATAGAGCTAATAGTTAGCTGCTAATAATTAGCTCCTTGGATCCAAACAGGTATAGCTAATTGTTAGCTGAATACCCAGCTAACAACTATTTCACTAGATGGACCAAACTATCTAATGTTAGCTATGAACTATTAGCTAGCTAACTATTACCAGCTAATGGATCCACCTTATCTGGAGTTTGTATGCTCCAAAAGTCCAAATATGTGCTGTCTTCTGTGTAGAATAGAAAGAAAACAGTTCATCTAAACAACCCACGTGTAACCATAGCTCTAGGATCCGCAGATTTCTGAGCTCTGCCAGTAATGGCTCTGCTGTTTAAGATAGCATGTGGAGTTCTTTATGGTCCACAAGCAGAATTGGTCTTATGGAATGGAAATAGTGGCACATTACCAGGTGAGAGCACACGAATACCTTAGACAGCGGTACTGGGTCAAATTGTTGTGTACCCATTTGTGGTCTGCATACACTGGTTTGGTGAAAATAAAATATGCCCAAAGCAGTAAACCCCCGGTTCACATGAACTGCTATCCTGTAATGTTACGAATCTTGACTAGTCTGGTAATGTATGTATGTGGAAATATGATGGTTTCTTTATTTCTCTTTTTAAACAGCAAGAGAAGAAGGAAGACAAGTCAGACAAAACAGAAGATGAGAAGAACTGATGTAGCCATGTTCATGCTTCCATGTAAGAGTTCATTATTCCATACATATTTCTATCTATCCACGTCCACTGTTGAAATGCATATTCAGCATAGCTTGTTCAGCTCTTATCTGCTGTTTCAACGCTGACTTAAAAGAAGAGCTGGTGTGCCTACTGCCTAGCCATTCTCAGGCTTTAGATGCTGTTTGATTTGATGTAAAGTAAAAAGTACTTTAGGTAATATATGAATATGGACAATATGGACGAACAGCGTTATTCGTTACACTGTGCAGTGCCATGATTCCTTAAAGTCTGCAATCTTTGGGTAGTGGAGGCACATAAGTCAATTCATGGTTAACTCTGTTTAGTGATAGTGTGACCACTGGCTATCATTCCTCTTGCTCTAGCCTCATCTGTTAGCAGGAAATTAACATCTCTTTCTGACTTTGCAGGCGCACAAAAAAATTGAAGATCAGTCTCCATTGGCTGCGTTTACTCTCTTGGATTCATGAAATTTGCTTATCTTCATGTAACAGTGCTTTGATTATAACTTAATGCCGAGGGAATTTGTATTATGACTGCAACAATCTTCTCTCCATATATGTTCAAGTGATTTTCGTATTTTAAGCTCTCTTTGCCTTGTGTTTATTTTGATGCGATAAACTGGCCATTCACTCTCGTGTAAACCGATCTGGTTGGTTACAAGCCGTTGCCCTAGAATTTTACAGCGACTATGAGGCGGCTGGCATCGAAAATATCTGGAGTTTATGCGCTAGCCATTTGCATTCACGTACAGTGATACCCAGTGGCACTTGAGTAGAAGATGCTAGATGCCTAAGAGCAACTGAGACTATAATTCTTCCTAATTGTTATATCCTTCCTGATGCTAGATGCCTAAGAGCAACTGAGACTATATTCTTCCTAAAATAGTGATTTTAGTGATTCTTTTTCCAACAGCTTGTCTAATATCTGAATATAGCAATACTCCATTCTAGATTTTTTGTTAGCCAAAGATGGACATTAATTATTTGGAGTGTGCGTAAGATATAGAAAAGCCGTCCGTTGGAGAGTAGAAAGATATAAACGATTTTTATTCAAATGACTCTTCAGACGATGATTTAGATAATAAGTTTTAGAAAGACTCTCGGAGATGCTCTTGAGGTATCGAATCAAACTTAGGTTAGGTTGAGTAGTATTGCCAAATAGATGATGGCAGTGTTTTAGTTCTAATGATTTGTTCTTTCAATTGATTGAACTATTTCCTATTGTGGCGGCTGTGTGGATATGGTGACGGTCGTTTCAGTTGTCGGGACACGCATTCATAAATATACATTTATCTCGTGAGGAGAGGTTAGATTTTGGGCTAACAGCGGCGAGATCTTATAACGACGATTTGCTTTTGGTGGAACACCACGGTGCAAAGACGGGTCACGGGAGGCTGAAATAAAATATGATACTTTCTATCTTGAATTTCTTTACATAATTTCGCTTTATCTGTACAACTGAGTGTTTCGGCACGATCACAGACCTGTTTCGTGACTCCGCAATCTCGAGCTCTCAATCGTGAGCCAAAGACGGACCTTTTCTGAGCCTGCCGCTGCTGATCTTCGGGCGGTGGAGAATACTAGTTGTTGAAAGTTGGGACTGGGGAGTGGGGAGACGCCCTTCGCAATCGTCATTCAACCATGGCACATAGCAGCCACACACCTGCCCTCCGACTTCAATGTCCTTTGATTCCCTTCTGATCACTGGAGTCTCTCCACGGGTACGCCACTGACAGGAGGGTTTGTCGCATATCCCTTGTCAAGATTATACGAGTAGTGTCCTCCGCGGCGCGGATCCACGCGACGATGTGCTGCGCCTGTCAGCTACTCAACCCCTCTTCCATCGCTTTCTGGTGCGTGGTGCCGGTCCACTGGCGTTCTGATCGTCGTCGGCTCGCGCGTGCAGACGGGCTTGTCGCCCCATGACTCCATGAGCCCATGGAAGTGGAACCCAGCCTTTCAAAACTCTGGCGCAAGGACGAGAACAGGTCGGGATAAGCTGTCGTGTTTGGCGGGGTTTCCTCGTCGGCAGAAGCAGATATCGCTCGCACGTCGGGTGCTCATCGCCCGTGCAGTGCTGTCGATAAAATTCTTCAGCGACAGCTCTTGATTTTTTGCGTCAGACAGATGTCGACGTCGTCGTTGTGTAGACAATGGGGTCTACTCCCCCGGCAGGCTATACAGCTCTTGATTTGTTGAAGGGACGCGGCGCTCTGTTTGCGTGGAAGGCGCTCTGTCGTCGCTCAATGATTGCCGAACCGAGGCCAGCAAATTGCAAAGGGGGGTTATGATAGCAAGTTTAAGGCAGAGAAGAAAGCGAGACGGAGAGAAAAGAGTACTGGTTGATGTCAATTTCAACTTATAAAAGCTTAGAGAAATTGTGTTTGTAGGGTGTGTTTCCCTTTTATCTTATTTTCCGCTAGTAAACCTTCTCCATTTATTGTTAGTGCTCCTTTGGACTTTCACATTGTTACTAAGCTCTATGCCTCTATCCAAACATTCCCACTTTCAATCTCGACACAAGAATTTTACAGAAATCAACTCAAATTTCAATTTCATAGGAAAAACATAGATTTCAGAAAAATTCCATGTTCCAAACAGAGCTTTATTTGGAGGAATAGAATATCCTATATGAAATTTTCTTATGAGAGTGTGTTTGGAACGTAGGAATTTTACGGGAACTAGTTCAATTTTATAGAAAAAACGCAGGAACATGAATTTTTTCCCGCAATCCAAACAAGCCCTCAAGTTTTTTGTTAGAAAGGATTGACTTCCTGCAAATCCTATAGAAATTCTCTGTTGTTACGGACTTGTTCGTCCGGACGCTGCCACGCAGAGGGAGCAAACGAGCGTCGTGTCGGGCTTGCAAGGGAGCGCACCAACAGTGGTCCCGCGCCACCCCGGACGTCGCCCACACCGCCCCGAACGTCGTCCGCACCGCCGCCACGTGCATCCCATATGCAACACCCGATCTATTTTGAAACATCCAGATGCAACAGTTGCAACATACAAAAAGAAGGCAAATGAAACACTTGAAACAAGCGTCTGAAACACTTGCGAAAACGCCTGAAAAACATTTGAAAACCATTGCAAACATATGCAACATCCAGATGAAACACTCGCAAATATACGTACGAAACACCTGAAAACACATGAAACATATGTTCGCAACTTGCATGTATATGCAACATTCAGATCTGCTTTTGCAACATCCAGATAAAACTCTTGCAACATTCGTCTGGAACAGATGAAACATTTGGAACATACACTTAAAACATACATGTATAGCCATTACAATATGTGCAACATCCTAATCTACTTTTGCAACATCGATATACAACACTTGCAACATACTTCTGAAACATCTGAAACACTTGAAACATACTATTGCAACATGCGCCTTAAGCGTAGCATCTGCTTGCTGCTTGGACGAATGGAGGCTCATCGACGCGGAGCTCGATGCTGCGGAGTGGTGCAGAGGTCGCCGGTGTGGAGCTCGTCGACTGCACCGACCTCAGCAAGGGCAGGGGCAGGCGGATGGAGCACGATCGCGACGGGAGGCGCGAGTCCGGGCGGGGCCGCGTGGTGCGGCCGAGGGCGGGGTCCGTCCCAGAGCAGAGGCGCATAGCGTGCTGAGCGGACATGCGACGTGGACGGGGACGGCGCGGGCAAGATGCAAAGCGAGCGGACGACTTACACGGGTCCGTCCGGATGGACAGACGACCCATAAGCAGCATTACTGCTGTTGTTACCCAGTTCTATCACAATATCCATCCTTGCAATTCCTTGGAATTCAATTGTATGTATTCTATTTCTACATTTTTTTTCTCCCTACATTTCTACGATCAGTGTTCCAAAGAGGCTCTTAAGTATGTTTCAATCATGTGGATTTTTACTATCACTTGGGTTTCTGTGTGCCGGGTGTTTTTCTCCTCGTTGCCTTTCTTTTTCACCACTCCATTTTCGTAACATCAACGTAGATGCTTGAGGGCTGTCTATTAGCCTACAGCCGAGGACTCATGATCACTCTTGTCTGAAGTCTGAACGGTTTTTTTTATAACTGCGCAACCTCGGCCCTCATTCTCCGAAAGCATGAGCACGTCTACGGGCTATAAAGAAGTGGTCAGTGTTGTAAAACATAGAGACTTTATTCTATAAGGAGAGGAGGAGGAATCATAATCTAGTCTATTTGTATGTGGGCTCTTACCGAACTCTTAGGCCTTAGCAGAGCTATATATACGTGGGAGCTCTACATTGTAATCACGAATATTTAGAGAAATAAAGAATAGTCTTCCTATCTTGTGTCTATTTGTTAACATATGACTTATTGGATGGTAATGAAATAGTTGGTGAGAATAATATTTTTACATGTGGTACTTCTACATTCTTTAGTTCTTGTGAGACTAACATTTTGAAGGAAGAAGAAGCTTGTGATCGGTGGAAGCCAAATGATGAATCCACCTTACCAAGAAGCTCAACTCTCTATACCACTTCACATATCGGTCTCATGGCAAAGAAAGAGAAGAAAGTGGCAAGTGAGAGTGAGAGTGAGAGTGACAGTGACAGTGGTAGTGATGATGATGAGATCAATCAACGCCTTGCACGTCTAAGCAAGAAAGACAAGTTGATAGTGATCAAGTTCATAGAGAAGATTCAAGAGCAAGAAGAAGATCTCTACAAGCAAGAAGAGCTTCTCGTTGAAAAGATTAAATGCTTGGAGAAGTTGATCAAAAAGCATGAAAAGCTTAAGTGCTCTCATGCTAGTTTGGTCCAAAGGTATGAAAACTTACAAATTGAGCAAACTCATACTATTAACTCTCTATCTTGTGTTGCTCAATTAGAAGATCAGAATTATATACTCAAAGACAAATTGGAAAGGCTTACTAGCAAAAATGAGACTTTGCAAGAAAGTCATGATGGGCTTTTGTGCTCTCATGAGAAACTTATGGAGTCTCATCTCATGCTAGAAGTTGCTCAT